TCTAGGAAGGAAGTCAGTAGGAGAAAACTGGTCCAGAGAATAAGGTGCAGAGCCACATGAACACAAAGGAGACAGCAGATAGCAGTGGCTGGAGGCGACAGGCGGGAAGTGAAGTCAAGTATGGTCTCAGGGTGGGTACAGGTAAAAACACCCACGACAAGGCCACACAGCTTCACCTGCCTTCGTCCAGAGACTGGAGAGTCAGAGGAAAACTGCCTTGGTGCCTCTGCCACATCCCACCTTAGGAAGCCTAGAAACATCAGCGACCGATGAGGCTCTGCCAGCCAGCACTGGCTCGTTTCCAGAGCGTCTGAGTTCCATTCCCTCCTCTGCTCTTACAACATGATTGATGGAGATTCAGTGATGACAAGACTGGCTTTGGGAGACAGCCAGTCAACACTGGACACAAGCTGAAATGAGAAACAGTATCACACCTGACAGGGGGAGCCCTCCGGGTCACTGTGCTCCCCACTCTTGCAGGAGGGCTCCTCGCTAGCATCAAGGGCCCTGAGCCTCCTGGAATGGTGGGTCTTCTTTGCATGAGTTGTAGTTCTCCAGGTTCCAAAGCACCATGGTCCAGAAAAGGATGCACATTCCTTGCTACCTAGGGTGTGGTCCCCAAGGGCAGCCAGAAATGGGCCAGGCAGAAGGGCAGGAGACTCTGTCATAAAGTTGATTAAGCTCCTCTGTGCTCCAGCATCATTCTCAGTTTCGGAGAACAAAGATGGGCAGCAAAGGCCCTTCTCCTCCTGTATGGATGGAGAGAGACCGTGGGGTGGCAGGGGACAGAGTGGACAAGTAGCAGCTGCCGGTGGCTGACCCTGGATGCTGGAGGATGACTTGATCCAAACAGACCAGCAGTGGAGGCCAGGGAAGGGCTGGCAGGGGCTCATGCCGCCCCTGGCTCAGGCCAAAGAGGGTCTCTGAGAAGATTACAATGAGCCCCAAGTACCCTGTTTCACAAAACACTGCCCCCTTTCTTTTTATAGATGCATAACTAAAGAAAATGATATGTGTTCCTAGTGGCTGGGTCTGTGACAGGCTAGAACTGGCTGAAAGGTCTTTAGCCATGAAGACACTCTGTCAAGTAAAACTTTCCCTCAGCAGACTAGTTCTCATTATCACCTGTGAGGTCCATTCAAACTCCAAGGATGAATGTGGCCAAGAGCCCAAAGCCATTTCAAGATGGGAAGATACATCAAACCTTTCTGGAGAGCAGCACTGGGACTAATTTTATTTGTTAATTGCCAAAGTTCAGAGGGACTCTATTTTAAAACCTGGAAAACCGAAAGCCTGAAATCAGTGGTAATGCATCTTTGATCTTTTCAAAAAACAGTTTCATCTGTGTTTATATAACGAGACCGTCTGCAAACAGGCTCGGCCAAGCTGGAGCAGAGAAGATTCTGAATTGTGAGTAAACACCGCTCATCTCAAACTGGCTGGAAACAGACATCGCTCCACATAGCAAACCTTTCAGGACACTTGTGGGCTTTTTCCCTTCTAAACATCCACATGCAGTTCTTTAAATGAGCGCGCACACACACACACACACACACACACACACACACACACACACACACACGCACACACACAAACTGCCCAATCTTTTCTAGATGGAAAAGTGGGTGGTGACTTTTGTTTCACAGCATATTGTATTTTCAAACTTTTTGGAAATGAACCTGTATCTTTTTGCTTGTATAAGTAAAAGTCTAATTTTTAAGAAGATGAAATAGAATTTCTTCTTTTAAAGAGGAACCCACAGAGCTGGGTGTAGTCGTAAATGCCTATAGTCCTAGCACTTCAGAGGCAGAGGCAGGATGAACATGCGTTCCAGGCCAGCCTGGACTATATATCAATACTCTGACCAAAAAAAAAAAAAAAAAAACCAAATGAAATGAAACAAGGTGGAAGGGAGGGGGAAGAGGAGCCCTGTTTCCAGCCTTGTTCTGCTCCAATCAGAAAGTCCACTCTAAATATCTTACCAACAGAGAAGCTAATGTTTGGGGTAGAAACTATTATTAAATCAACAATTCAACACCAGTGATCACAGCTGGGGAAAGGACTTGACCATAAGAGTCTCACAGACTCAGATCAAATCCCAGGCCCAACATACACTAGCTGTACAAGCTTGAGCAAGTTTCAGAACCTTTCAGAACCTCTCAGAGCTATAGTTTCTTCCTGTGTAAAAAAGTCATCTGTGGGGACTAAAGGATGCCCTGGTGTGTAAGAGACAATATCCACGAAGAGCACAAAGCCAGGGTTTAAAACAAACCAAAAACTCATCTCACTCTGCTTCTGCAAAGCATGACAAATGTACTCAAATGCAGTGGCTGATGGGAAATAATTTCATGTGAAAACGATGCAGATAGATTTTCAAGGCATAAATCAATATTTAAATATGCTTATGACTAGCCACACCTATCTTTGCTTCTAGACATCCAGGGGAGGATGGGGGAGGGGAGGTGGGCTAACTGGAGGTACACCTGAGAGGTCTTCTCCAAACTACACAGGACCGAGCGTGGATAAATACATACTGGATAAATAGTAACGTCCGATATTTCTCTTAAGTAGGTATGTACATATACAAATAAACAGAAGGAAAAAACCTACTACCTGCATGTCTTTTAGCCCAGGGGGTGCAGGCATTTTAACCGCTATGCATTAAATGCGGATTCATTGCTTGGGATGCCAATACATACTAAGCAATCAATATGACTCATCAGATCAGGAAATGTATAGAAATATGAGGTGCCGGAAAGAAGGCAAATGCACCATCTACTAACTCTCCTAAATATTAGGTTGAAGTGATTACCACCATTCACCAATATCCACAAATGCACAGTGTGCGTATCAGGAAATCAGAATATCTGAGCTCCCCTTCGAGTGTTCAGGAATCAGATCCCTGTGGTGGGGATCGGACTGCTTGATTCAGAGAGAGAAGGGAAAGACTAGGAAACAGGGGCTGTGCCGGTTGCCAGTGTGCCCCTTCCACTAACTGTGCCAACAGAACCTGACTTGGGATGTGACCACACGGTACTCCCTCAGATTGGGAGATAAGGGTTTCGGGCAGAAGCCAGTGCAGGATCACCAGGATGTGCAACCGTCATTCAGATGTCTCTTGGTCAACTTAGCTGCACAAACCATCCACTTAATCAGCTTGTTCTTGAATTATTTATTACCCTTCCTATCCCCATCCACATGCACCCTGAGGGAGAGAAGAGAATTCTTCCTGGTGACCCACCCTGCCTCAGGAACCAGTGCAGTGAACAGCAAGTCTGAAGGAGTTTGGGGTGCTGCCACTCTCCAGACAAAGCAAGACCAGGAAGAAACAGCAAATTAAGTATTAGGCTTCGAGAATGTGGCTCCCTCTCCAAATCCAAAGAAGCCACTAAAGTTCCTTTAGAGCACGGGAACAGATCTCTGCTGCATATTTGGGCACTGTCTACCCTGAATCCCTCTTTATCCTAAACCTGGTTTGGTTTCATTTTTTTCTTAGCAATTGCCAACAGCCTCAAATCCCACTGTCTGTAGTAGAATAGACCCAGCATTCCAGCGCAGAGAGGACAAAATCCCATCACATCTAACTAGCAGGACTTTTTATATAAGCCCCCAAATTCCTACATCAGAATCCATTCCTAAACCAACTGATAAGTGATTACACAATCTTAGAAAGAGGTTGAAGCTTAGATGTGATCTACAGGGTCTTTTCGGGGTCCAGTGGTTAAAAGCCCCTTCCCCCTCCCCAGACACTCTCTCTCTCTCTGTTCCTTATCACAGCCCTTAGAGCAGGAGACGCCAGGTTCTATTTTAAGACAAACCCTCTCACACTAGAAACCACTCAGACAAAACACTGACATCTTAACTACTCCCCAATCTTCTTCCTTCTGGGTCATCTCCTGTTGTACACAAGCTCTCCAAAGCTCCCCAGAGCCTCTGGGAGCTGGTCTCAGGGTCCCTCCCATCACCCCCCAAACCCCCGCTGGGGGTAAGGCCGTTAAACAGTGGGTGTCAGGCACTGGGACCTTGGCCTTTCTGACTATTCGCCCCAGGGTGAGAATGGGTACCTTAACCAGCCTCAGAAGGAAGCTAAGGGGTTTGTGACATGTGACGCAGTGGATCTGCTCCTCCTGTACCTTCCTCCTTACTCCTCTTCAAGAGTCCTCGGCTTAGGGAGTGGGGGTGGGAGGAGAGGCTGGGGGGCGGGAGGAGGTAAGAGGGGGATCTTTGATTGGTGTGTAAAATGAATGAAAAAAAATTCTTAATTAAAAAAAAAAAGAGAGACCTCGGCTCCACACCACACCACGCTTGACCTAGGACCCAACTGCTCTCCACGCTGGGAGGAAACTTGTGTCCTGGGGATGATGGGACCTGACCAGGTCTACACCACCTGGAACCTTACTTATCCTGGACCTTCTCTTCTTCACTCTCATCTCCTGAATTTGCCTCCCCTCCTGCCTGGCCTCTCCCTACTTCCTCTCACAAGGCGCCCTGGTTGTGTTTCCACTTAGTCTCCAATTATGTCTAAACGCAACCCACCACAGATGCTGACATTTTAAATGTTTAGTTGTTATAGTTACTTGACTAATTGCCTGGGCCACCGGCAGAGCGTCTTCTCTCCTGCAGGCAGGAGGGGGGTGGGGAGAGTCAGGCAGATGGGGTTTTAAGCCGCTACTCCACTTGGAGCCGGCCCGGGACACCTTGCCACGCCCAGGAGAATGCCCCGTGTAGAGACTCCGCGGGCCATAGGCTCCAGCCAGGGCCAGAAGGTGCGCCCGCCCGGCACCTGTACCGCCTGGCCTCGGGATGCCAAGAACTGTGTCTCCTGCCCCGGGACAAGAGAAATGGACAAGGTCTGCCCAGCAAATGCTTCTCTCTGGCCTCACAGTCCGCCTATGCCTGCGATGTATAAAAGGCAGGTGAAATGAGGAAAGGAGGTGGGCATGGGGGAGAGGGGGCTTGGGGGGCAAATGAGAGTTAGAAGGCGGCTGCAGGTTACTCACGTGCCAGATAGCGAAGAAGATGAGCGCAGCGCAGAGCACCAGGGACAGCATGTAGCAAAAAGCAGCGAAGGTGAAGGCCATGGCTGAGGACCCCGATCCCACCACACACAAAGCCGCTCCCTGGAGACCAGCGCCCTCCCAAACGGGGGCCAGAAAGACGGCTCGTCCTCACGATCCCGGAAAAACCAACCGCTAGGAGCACACACAACAAGCAGAGACAGAGTTGAGGGTCAGCGAAGCCGGCAAGACTCGGGCAGGACAGGAGACCCAGGACGTGGAGTGCCCACGGGCACAGAATGTCTGGCAGCAACTGTTCCCCTCGCCGAGGAAGAAATCTAACCAGTAGAGAACACCTGCAGACCTGTGTCAACTAGAGAGGCTCTTGAGACCAACAGGCATGGGGTGCGAGGACTCCACAGAGGACCGGACGAGGAGGTCCGTCCCCTGGAAAGAGCCTTCTCTGTCCGCTCCGCTCCGGAGCCGAAGAGGTGAGGCGAGCGCGCCACCCAGACTCCAGGAGCGTCCGGCCAGGTGCCCGGGCTCCGAGGTCCCCAATCCCACAGCCGCTTTGTCCCGGAGCACAAGTCTTTAGGTGGCGGCCGAGGCGAGCCAGGTCCCGTTAGCCCTGCGCCCTGGGCTGGGGTCTTCCAACGCAGCTGTGCGCACGGAGATGCATCCGGCCCCGGCCCCAACCGCGTCCCCCGGCCGCCGGCTTCCGTAACCCGGTGCCTGGGAAACTGGGTCGGACCGGGGCGGCGTGGGTTCCAGCCTAGCGGGCCAGCTCCCGGCCGGGCGGCTGCGGCGCGGCTTTCCGGCCAAGTGCTGCTCGCTACTGAGCGGGGCTCCACCTGCTGCTGCTGTCGCCCGCGCTCGCCGCGAAGACTGCGGCGCTGGGACCCCTCCCTGGAGGCGCCCCACCCTCGCCGGCTCCGGAGCGCGCCCTCCCCGCGGGCGGAGACTGCGGCGATGGGGGCCGGGGAGGCGGTGGCGAGGAGACACGGTGCGCGCCCGCCTCTCGGAGGAAACTTGCCGCGGCCCCGCGCGCGGAGGCGGGAGGGGCAGGGACTCTTTAAGCACGTGCGCCCGGAGCGAGTGGGAAGGCGGAAGGCTATGGCGATGACGCGTCCGCCGCCCCTAGGCTTCCAGCAGTTTCGTGCACATCAGAGCGGGAAGTGAGGGGACTTGGTCGAGGGAGTGGATTGGCTCCTGTTGGTTGGGTCCTGCTTAGGCCGATTTCCCAGACTGTAAGGTACTCCTCATCTGGGAGTGCCTTTTCGGCTTTACCCTGAGCCCCGCCCCCCGAACCCCGTCTCGCTCCCCCACCCCATCCCACCCCACCCCACCCCGCGTGCGCAGAATCCTGCATTAGAGTCCACCCCTGGCATCCTGCATGATTCGCTTCCAGCTGACATTGGGGTTGAAGGAACCTGGCGCCATGGATAAGGCAGCAATGAGTGTTTCTGTGCTGCTCTGTGGCATTGTTTAGAGCAGGTGAGGTTGGAGGCAGACTCCCTCCTCCAACTTTCTTAGCCTCAAATAAAACCTGCTTTCTTTATCAGAAAAGTAGCAATGAGTATCTTCAAACCAAACGGGACCTAACGGGGAGCACTTGGTACCCAGTCAATCCTTAAATGGTAGGAACTGTTACCTGCACACTCTGCCACAGTCTGTTAGCATCTTAGAAAGTTTGTATCATAGTCACTCAATGAAAAAGGTTCCAGTCCTGCAGACAGAACTTGGATTTCAGATGAGCCAGTCCAGAAAGCAGGAAGAAATGTCCTGAAGGATGATTTGCAAGTCACTTGGGAGTCTAGACACACACCATAGTTTGGAGTGAATCTCAGAGCATCAGGTTATGTCCAGAAGGCAATGTTTCACTCCCATCGACCCACCTCTGGATCTTACAGGTTTTTTGTCCCCTCTTCTGCCACCTCTCCATGATGGCCCCTGAGCCTCAGGGAGAAGGGGTGTGATATAGCTGTCCCATTTGTGGCTGGCTGAGCACTGCACTGCACATCGACAGCTTGTGTGTTTCTGCATTAGCTGTCCTCCACTGCACAAAGGAACTTTTCTCTTAAGATCGGAGAACTGCCCTTGTCTAGGTGTAGAGATACAAAGTTAGAGGACAATTTGATGTTATTTCCAATTAGCAAAACAACTGTAGTACGTTGTCCTCTGGGCATTAACAATTCCCCAACCGTGGATCTCCGAGGGTTCTCAGCCAGATTTACAGTAGCAGGCGTGAGTTTCCTCCTGTGGCAGGCCTTTAAAAAAATGAGAAAGCAGCTGGTTACCCCCGCCCCTAACATTCACAACACTGTTGCGTCCATGGACATATCTCAACATATCAGTCATTATTGTAGCTCATTGGGTTCACAGCTGAATAAGACTGTTGATGAGCGACACACACACACACACACACACACACACACACACACACACACACAGAAGCCTGCATAGCAACTTCTGGTACTATGAAGTACAGACAGCAGGGAGGAAGCTCCCTAGTCAGGGCCAACTTGATTTCTCCATGTCCTGTGAACAAAGTTTCTTCAGCAAGAGTCTTATCATCAAGTTCTAGTGGGCAATCAGGAGCAGATGACAGTATCCTACATTCTTTGGGGTTCTCTGAGACACCCCTAAATTCTACAGGCCCTCCAGTTTAGAAACATAAATCTGAAGATGCTAGGACCCACTATGAGTGAGAACACGCAATGTTTGTCTTTCTGTGTGTGGAAATCCCTTACTTTTAACACTTAATGTACACTAATAAAAAAGCATTCCCATATGTTTCTGAAATCTTGGTTACAATGCCAGACTTTTTTTCTAGTGGATGTGAGCACAGTCTCATTTATGCCATTTTTCTGAAGTATGAATAATAAAGTTTAGTCTATTGCCTAAGGTGCTATTCTCAAGTGCACAAGATCAAAAAGGTTTAGATTTTTCATTTTAAATAAATTATTAAAATGCTGTATGTGAAAATTTCCTAGTAAATAAATATTTCAATGTCTTGATTTATAACTTGTCAAATAAGTTGCTTTCTCACTTAAGTAGGTATGTTTTCCAACAAGTGGAACTATGAATTTAGAATGAATGTATGCTTATATAGACACCATTACTTTTTAATGTCTATTGAATACTTCATGTTTTAAAATGTTTGATTATGCTTAAGTACATGTTGGGCAGTTTTAACATTTGAAGTCTATTTTCCTAGAATTTTAAATTGTTTTTATCAACATCGTGCTTAATTCAGAAGATTTTTTTCAAATGTATTATTGTATAAAAATTATTTTCTGATTTTTAACCTACCTTTTGACTGATAATTATAATTTAAGAAATTAAACCCTAAGATTTTATATAATGTGATTGACATGTTGATGAATGTGTGTGTGAATTATAAGGATTAATAACATTTTTTCAACCATGGTACATTCTTAGTTTGCAAGAGACCCTTATGACAAAAGAGAGATTTACAATCAAAGACAAATAGAAGTTTACTAACATGTATATTTCATATACTCGTAGGAGACACACAGAGAATGAGGAGTTCTCGAAGAGGTGGCTTTGAATTCCAGCTTATGTAACATCTTCGAATGACAGTACATTCCTTGAGAAGTGACTAGGCAAAGGAACAGGACTTTGAGTATCCGGGCATGGTGACTTGGGAAGAGCAAATAACAGGCGGAGTGAGGCAAAGGCTGAGCTTGTTTGGGTAGATGGGCTGATAATGTCCAAAGTTGTAATGTGTGGTCAGCCTAGTCTCCACGGTAGGAGAATGTGAACTTGTTCGCATTGCTTGGAGGGAAGTCCTCTGTCTTTCTGAGTGTATCCTGTCTTCAGGCAGGTAGAGGGAGGGCAGAGCTCACCTGCACACGCCCGGTCCTCACTGCTTTCAACTCCTGTGTCCTCCATAGATACTGATGACTGAGGTGTGTGACTATTCATAGAACGCTAATAAGTGTATCCACAGTTGGCTGTCTCTCTATTCTGAGATAGTTTTTAATATTTTATTGACGAATTCTTAAACTTGTAAATATTGAAACACTGCATTTACAATGTATGCAAGAACTGCAATGTGCAAACAATACATCTAAAGTAGCAATTATTAGAATCAGGGGACAATTGTGATTTCAATATAGTGATAAAACTGGGAGGCACACAGCAAGGGGGTGCTTTGTAGTAAGTAAGTACATGGGAGGCCCATCTATCAATGGCCCTTGTGACATCCTGTCATGGTTAGCCTGAATTAATGGGTTTAATTTAAAATTTAATTATTAATTGATTTTTTTCTACCGTGGTCTGCAAGGGCCACCATACTATTTACCAATCAGAACAGAAATCTTTCAATAGTGTAAGGGTTGAGGCAGTTACACTAATGAATGTTGACTGAATAATGTATAAGGTGGGAAGCAGAGTGGCTTTAAAGACAAAGCCTTTTTCCACCTTGGGAAAAGGTTTGTCTCTCAGAAGACATATGGGGCATGCCTGGAGTTGGGAGAGGAGACAGAATACTTCTGCCAACATCCAGAGGGAAGCAAGAAGCGACTGGAGAAGCTGAGGCCAAGGCTTTAGAGAAAAGAGGACGCACATATTACATCATGCCAGTGCTGGAGAAGACACAAGTGTGGGTGTGTGATGCCAGGGAGGGGGGGGGGGCCAGGCCTGAGCCTCCAAGGACCTCCAGCTAGCAAAAAAGAAGGCCAGAAGTAAAAGGACCGAGACACGGGAAGACCCTGTGTGGACCTATGACCCTTGGCAGGGGTAGAAGCTTCTGGTTTTTTGGGGTTGTACCACCCTCCCAGAATCTTTGCCCGAAGTTGTGAGGATCTTCCAGCATCCCTAATAACAAATTTCCTTCTAGCTCAGGCATCAAAGAGGCTTGGCGTTAGATTTAAACTATTTTAAAGAGAGTTAGGAGGTTATGTGTGCAGTTCATGTGAACCTGCACTTTGGAGACTTTCCACGTATGAATAGGGGCTGGATAGATTAAAAAAAAAAAAAAAAAAAAACAGTATCCAAACCCAGCCAGCACCAGTCTGGCATACAAGGGCAAGCAGAGTTACAGGGGTTATAGAGGGCTAAAGGCACCAGCTCTGCATGGAGCTGGTGATGGCTGGCTCCCAACTTTAGAAAAGTTATTATTAAATCAACTATATGCAAGAAAAAAGGGGTAAAGTGTCCTGTGGAGCATCAAGGGATGAAGGGAAAACCTTTAGATCCTGGTTTTTAGAAAGCAGCTATAAAATGCAATCTGGGGACAACCCAAAAGCAGTCATGGCAAGACATCACCTGCTGTTGAGTCTGATAAGGGTCCAAGGGATGTTTGCAAAACTCTTCGTTGATGTTTTGCATTGCTTGAGTTTTTATGAAGAGTCACTTTAAAAGGCTCAGTTCATAAGACACTCCAAACATCTGAATTCACCAGGAGAAAGAAACAGACTTCGAGAAAGTGTCTTACCTAGACAGAGTCTGTGGCTGGGACTCAGGGAATGGTTGGATGGTTGCTGAGAAGCAGGAATGGTGGGTGTGGAGAATGTAGTGAGTGGATTTAAGCTGAAGGCTGGAGAGTTGCTGGCATGAGGCTTGCCAAGGAAGCAAGGGAAGAACTGAATGTATCCCAGTCACACCAAAAAGCCTGAGCTAATGCCAGTTAGAGGACATGCTTGAGTTCTATGCTAAAGGAAGTATCTGGTCAGGTTTTCCTATGGGTGGAATGGGGTTACTAATGGGATGGAAGGAGATTTACACCCCACTAAACTAAGCTGCCCATGAATTGAAAATACTTCCCTTTATGCACTGGTCATTTCCCTGATGTGTGTGAGCATGGACTGGAGGCAGAAGTGAACCAGAGGCAGGAAGGGTTGGGGTAAGCGTGATGATGGGTCGTGTCTTAGCTGTGTGGGGACAGCCATCACCTTCACCTTGCTCTGCCATGGCCTTCGGTGAGGCAGGGAGTTACTACACACATGGTTAGAAAAGGCAGCAGCCAGGGGTGCTGACACCCACCTCTGATCCTGGCACTTGAAGATGGAGACAGGAGGAATTCCAGTCCAGTCTGGGCTACAAAAGGAAAAACCTTGTCTCAAATCGAAAGGGCAAAACAATTGAGAAGGAGCAGGAACAGGCTGATGTGTCAGAACAGTGTGGATCTACCTGCAGAGAAAGAATTGGAAGTAACTTGCCTAATGTTGCCAACTTGACTGTGATGCCTTCCTGAGCACCTGCCCCCAGCATCCTCCTCTTTATTTTATACCACTGTTAGCTGGACCAGAATGGCTGGACAACAGAAAGCCAGACCTTGGCAATATAGCAGAAGTGTGGATGGCCAATCAAAAGCCATTCAAAACCCCTCTGCTTTTCTTTCCTTTCTTATAAAAGCCAGAACGAGGAAACTCATTTTCTCAGAGGTAGCCACAGGTCAGCGTTCCAGCCAGCGAGGTAGGAGATCCGTGAGGAAGCCTCCCTTTCCTCCCGCACAAAAATACACTTTCACAAGATGCAAACTTTTGGCTCTTTTCTGTCTTCACACCTGCAATGTGGATGTGATAGCTGGAGAAGCCACAACCCTTTTGTGACCATGAAAATCAAATCACATGCAAAGGGTGGAGAGTAAGCAGGAAAGGGGCCAAGACACTAATGGTGTCAGGGAGCTGCCGCATTAGGTCTAAGCTGGTGATTCTGATTTTATGTCCTCTCAGGACCCTTCTCCATGCTATCAGTGAAGAACGATGTTCACCTGTCAGCAGCAGAATATTTTATTTCTGTAGGTTCATAAAAGGAAAGGTTTTGGCCTTGGAGATGGTTCAGTCCACAAAGTGCTTACTGTGTATCCATGAGGACCTGAGCTTGGATTCCCCAGAACCCATGTAAAAGCTGGTGTGATGGCACAAGCTTGTACTCCAGGGGTGGGGAGGTGAGACAGGTGCATCCCTGGGGCTTGCTGGCCACCCAGGTTAGCCTAATTGATGAGCCCCAAATCCCAGAGAGAGATCCGGTCTCAAAAACAAGATGGACAGCTTCTGAAGAATGACACCCAACACTGACTTCTGGCCTACACACACATACACACACACACACACACACACACACACACACACACACACACACATGCACCAGCATGGACAAGAACACCAACACACACACAAGCTCACTCACATGCACATGTAACACACACACACACACAAAGAAAGTAAGAAGTTCCATTCTTATTCCACAAGAATTCACAGGGTAAGTATTTAAGAACAAGCAGGGTGGGTGGATCACT